CTTTCCCTAGCTCTGTCATAGCTGACTTAAACTCTAGGATGGTCCATGAGCAATGACATATAGATCACAAGCTTGAAGCTGGAGCCTACAGCAGGACTTTCACAGACAATTCTGTGTTGGAGGCCCACTTACCTCCAGTTCTGTTCTTATGTGAAAAAGGGAAATGCTTTGAAGTCTTGTGAAAAGGAAGATTAGTCAATCAGTAGGGATTTGTTATTTTATTACACTTCTCAGAGACCTCTGGAGCAGCCAGTAGGATTATCTGAGCGTAAAAAGCCTCATCTTGCCCGGCAAATTATTTTTTAATACATCCCATGTTGATCCAAGGAAATGAACTTGTGTTATATTAGCCCTTAGCTGTTTTGCAGTAAGAATAGCTCAGTTATTATGTATAGCAGCGGCACCCACAACAGTCTGTTGTCAAACTCATTCAAGCAGTTATGAGTTCCCTGTCTCTTATGTGTTTGCCTTCAGCACCAGGGACATTTTATTCCACTAACTCTAAAAGGTGTGTAATAGGAATTCACTGCAGCAAGTTTCACTGCACTAAAAGTACACATCTGAAACCAGATGTCACTGTTCTAGATATGTTCCTCTTCTCTCAGCCTTTAAGCAGGGTTTTTTTTTCCTATTACAACTGGGAAAAAAAAGGAAAAAAAAGAAAAAAAGAAAAAAGAAAAAAGAGAAAAGAGAAAAGGAAGGAAGGAAGGAAGGAAGGGAGGAAGGAAGGGAGGAAGGAAGGGAGGAAGGAAGGGAGGAAGGAAGGGAGGAAGGAAGGGAGGAAGGAAGGGAGGAAGGAAGGGAGGAAGGAAGGGAGGAAGGAAGGGAGGAAGGAAGGGAGGAAGGAAGGGAGGAAGGAAGGGAGGAAGGGAGAGAGGAGGGAAGGGAGGAAGGGAGGGAGGAAGGGAGGGAAGAAGGGAGGGAGAAAGGAAAACCGACCCAACAGCTCTGACTGTAATCCTAAGTTTGAGTTCAGTGAGACAAACACTTGAGACTTCTCTGCAAGGCACAGCAATGAGAAGGGTGGTAAGAGATCTGGCAGCGTTCAGTGCATAATTCAAAAGTACCTTCTCTAGAGTGAAGAGCTTGCTGGTAAGTAAGACTCAGACATTACAACCATCTAAGTAAATTGTGCATTGTGATTTAAATTAAGCCACATAACTTTACAAGTCACAAAAGCACATTTGTCCAGAGAGAAGCAGGCAGGGCCCAAGCAGTTCCCCATGCAGAAGGCACATCCAGCCATATTAACACAGCAATCTGCCTGAATCAAGCAACTAAGTCTCTGAGCAACCTACTGAGCTAAGCACTGCATCTTTCTAGCAATTAAAATTAGCCTGTGAACCAGAGCTGGCTCTCTTCAAAGGACAGGCAAAAAAAGGTCTGTCCAGGGCCCTCCATGTGGACCTATATTGAATGATATAAGCTTTATCCATTTTGCGCTGGTGTTGTGATACCGTCATCAGGCTGAAGCCTGAATTCTGCTCCAAACATGGGTTGTGAATTGGTACAGGGCTTGTAGAAAATGTAGACAATAATATCTTGGCGTATAACAATGCAGCGCAATATGGAGAAAAGATACTTCGACTTTTTTCCTTTTCTGTCTTTTCTGGGATAGATAATAATGTTAATATCCAATCTGATTTAGGAGCTCCACCTGACTTTTTCATGTTAGTTATGAGTGTATTCCTGAAACAACTGGAAGAAACAAAAATTAATTCTTTAGGTAGTTTCCACTGCTGTCCAGGGAGCTGCTGAATGGATATATACTACAGATATAGAGATCAAAATCATGACTTAGCTTGCTATTTATGAGATACAGCTAGGTAGGGGAAAGTGTCAACTTCTAAATTCACAAGAAATCAAGTGGGAAAATTCCATAGTTTAAAGCCTGTCTCTGACAATTTTCCCTAAGATTAAGAAAGGTTTCTAAATGAGTATTGCATAAAATTGCAATAGCAGCTGACAGCAATAGAAATCGTCTAATAGAAAAGAAATCTTGCTGTTAAAACAAACACAATCAGTTGCTGTGAAACATTCTAAGTTATAACTCTACTATTTAATGTAAAATGACACCCTACAAAATCCTCACCAGTTAAATACAGAGAAAATATTCAGTTTCTCCCGATTATAATTTTTGCTGATGTGTGGGCAATCACACAGCAATTTACCTCACAGTGAAATCTTTGTTCTTTGCAGGTGTTATTAACTCAGAATAATTCTCTGGAGGCTTCATGCTGAGCTTTAATTTTCAACAAACTTGTGGATGAAATGGCAAGACTGGGGGAGCTTTAGCTTGTTTGTAATGAATAATTCATTCTTAGTGGACTAAATTCAGAAAGGGAAAGACTAGTCTCTTATGGGAGCTATATGCTTCTCACTATGGTCTATGTGCTTCAGTTTCTTCTGCTGCAGCTGCTTGTCCTGTGTAGATTTGACAGCTTACATAAATAATAATTTGTTGTTAAGGTGTTGAAGTTGAAACCACATGGAGTTAACCTACAGGTTCAGACATGTAACACAGAGTTTAGTGTTTGCTTTAAGGATAGTTTTACCCAGAGTAAGTCATAGACAAACAAATTCATACCACAAATGACGGGTATATACAAACACCTCATTTCAGCTATATTATAAAGGTAATTAAAGAATCATCGTTATACATTATATATCTCATATGTACATGTGACTCTCTAAAAATATATCTACCTTTAGTACTGAGTATGGATTTTTGGAGTTCAATCTGTGGGGCAGTTGTCTATAAACCTTTTAAAATATGCACCCAAGTGCCTTAGAGCTCCCTGCTTGGTTGATAATGATCTACTACTGTCAATCTTAGAAGATGAGAACATTTTACAGCAAATCTAAAGTCATGGCTAGAAAAGTATTTTCACTTCTGTAAAAATGTGAATACAATAGATAAGTGTAATCACTTAAAAAAGGGAGTTTATATTAATCTTCCTGCAAGTGAGGAAAACGTCTTGAGTCAGTCGCTCAAGTAATTAAAGGCATGAAAACTTCCAATTAGCAAATCTAAAGCTTTTATTTTATTCTCTGTTTGTTGATATGAATATCAGGCTTAGCAGAGCACCCAAATACAGTGGCCACTGAAATACCTCAGATGATTATAAATTAGTTTTGACCTGCCAAAAATCAGAATGATCATGTTTCTTTTGCAGCTCTGACTTCACTGAAATATAGCAGTATACAGAGAAAAGCACTTAACAAAATTTGTCAGTACTACTGGTTATGCCTGGAGAGCAGACAACACAAGGAAAATATTTCTTCATGGACTTTTATTCTGTACACTCATATATGTACAGTTAATTAGTTTATTTCTGTTCATCCAAGTTGTGTTTGTCTGGATATTTTGAGGGTCCTTCTCATTTTCTGAAGGAATTCCTGAGCTCTTTCTGAGCCCCATTCCAGCAAAAAAGCCCTTCAAAAAATGAGGCTGGGAACTGAAATTTGTAACTCTGCTAGAGACTAAGAACCATGGCCTCAACAGAGTCAGTGGTTTTATGGCTCACTGCAGTTTTTCCCACACTGCACCTCCTGGTAACCTCCCACAAACAGCAATTAGCTACCTCTTAGTCTCGACACTAGAGGGGTTGAGGACATTAGCATCTCTCATTTTAACACCCCTCAGGTATTACTCTTTTTTTTCCCCTTTCTTTTATTTTTTTTTGTCTCTTAAATATTACCAAATTAAATAATTAAGTTAAACTCAGAACCCAGTTCTATTTTATCTGTGCTTTTTCAAGTTTCAGGAATAATAAAGCAGAACAGAAAGGATGTTAGCTGGCAGGGAGCTACAGATCCATTGCTCTGTAGACCCAGATTTCTCTGTCTTACATGGAAGAAGCATTATTTCTGGAGAAGGGCAGGAAATAGATTTCAGTTCTCCACATACATTTAACTTTATTTTTGTTACTATTTTAAAATAATCTTTCTGTTCCAATTTTGGGGGGAGGGAGGAAATGAAAGAGTTAACAAAGGATGATCTTTCAAGGCCTTACCCTTCAATCCCCGGCATTAATATCATACTAAAGTGCACTGAGTGGGATTTGTTGAACTTGAGCCTGCTGAAATGAGGTGTCTCACCCGTAACATTCATTTAAGATCAGTATAAAGGAAC